CACAACTGACATTTTGAAGAAGTCAAGATCAGAATGGGTTGGCAAATGATGGGCAGTTTTTTTTCCTTTGTTTAATGAAAGCAGGAAGGAGTTTGCAAGCAAGACAAATCACTTTAGAGACTATGAACAGAAAAAATCAACTGTCCAGCAGATATGGAGGTAGGTTAACTAACTTGTTAATTATTAGTTTATTGACCACATCAAGACATAATACAGTGTCAACTAACAAAAGGATAAAATATGTATAACTATACCAAAGTACCTAACAAATTATATTTATATAAGATCATCTCTGCATTAGATCCTACCCCCTCTGCTCTATGTAATAGGCTCTCAGTTGAATGCTGACTGTAAACTTGGCAGTTCTTCTAGCAATGAGTTTATCAGTACCCTGAAAGGTGTAGGACAATATAGTGTTTAGATCCCAATAAGCTGTTCTGTCAAATAAGCTGTTCTATCCCAATAAGGTGTTCTGTCAAATATTCTAAATACATTCCTAGCATACAATTGGCACTTAAATAATATATGCACAATGTCTTTTATATCTGGATCTCCACATATATACTTCTCTTGTGGTATGGCATGTGGTGGAATCATCCAGAAATTCAAATATTGCTTTGGTAAGGGCTATTTTTAATACTATCTCAAATCCATTGTCAGGTATTTTTCTGTTTAAAATGTGATCTTATTCCTGGCAACTATTTTAAAAATCTCCTGTTTCAATGTCTCTTTTCAAAGTCTCCTGTTTATAAAGATTTGTGTTTAATGTAGATAGTAATAGCCAGAGTTGCAAATAATTCTGATGCTGCTTTATACATATGTGACATGTCTCATAGGTATCTTTTCTTTTAGGCACATTTTGGGAAGCTTACTAGATTCATTAGGAAGATCCACTGTCAATAGTTAAAGACTAATTGCAGACTAGCTGTATGTGGTTAGATACTATTTAGACTCTTACTCAGAGGATGGCATGTTCTTGTGGGCTTATGAAATGAGTTTGATTGTCAAAACATAAGATCTTTGCCAGACTTAACAATTATGTGCTACTGGTCAGTAGTGGAGTTATTTTCACCTTATAAGTCTTAATATGGGGATCAGTGCCTTGGTAGTTGCAAATGAATGGCAAGTAGCGTTTGGAACTTGCTGGAAATAAATGTTGATGAAATAGTGGAATAATTTGTCATGAAAACAATTGGCTTTAATGTGATTTAGTAATGACTTGCTATAATTGGATTGTAGGCAATCTACATTAGGTTATGGGTGCTTCTGTATTAGAAACTCTGTGTTCCCTTATATTCTGCCAATTGTACTCTGGCAAGTATTCCTAGGGGTTGGAGAATTCTGGTTGTCATTTCTGACACCCCTTTTTCAGAATCAGAATTATTAAGATCAAGATAAGCAGAAGGTTCAAAAGTAAGCAAGCTACAAAAAACAACTTGATTAAATTAATTAACCTTTACTCAGGTTGTAAGCCAGAAATAGAGAGTTTATGGAAGTGGAGTGTTATTATTCAAGTTATTGGAAAAATCTAACCTGATAAATTCTCAAGATCAGACAAGTTTCCATTTTTTTTCTGTCATACACTTAATATTACATCATGTATAGTTTTGCAATTCTACAGGAATGAAAAATGATGTATTCATTCCTAGTTATCTTCTGTTCTAACTTAATTTATTATAAAAACTAGTATTATGTTAGATATACAAGCAATCTCTAATGTTCTATCTGGAAAACTAAATGCCTTAATATTATTGATATCATGAATTATTTGCCAGACCCTTAAACTGTTACAAATTGGGTATTATTGTCTTAATTTTTCCATTTTAATCAAGATGGTTACACTGTATTTAACAAATATGGTTGCTCATAAATTTAGGTTAGTGTTTAATTCAGCATAGAATTTGGCTCTTGTAAGCCATTTGCTTTGTCATTGTACTTAAATATCTAAATTGTAATTTAGTTCTCATTAGTGATAGTAATTGTCTACATCTTGCCAAATAGACTGTGATAACTAGAAATGAAATTTGCATATATTAGAGTTATTTCATGGATGGTAAATGCATCTAAATAATTTATATTTTAAATAAGCACCTTGCTGTGGTTAGTGGTATTTTGATGGCTATTATGTGTCCCCAATGTAATTAGGAAGCAGATCTTCCTGTCATTAAGTAAATGCAAGATAATTTACTAATAGATGATTGCAGGTGCTACCACAAATAGGTTTGCCTAGCATAATACTGGGTCCTGCATTTATTTTAAACACTTTCTATTTATAAATTTGTACTATTTTTACTAGTCTCTCTCTCTCTCTCTCTCTCTTTCTCTCTCTCTCTCTCACACACACACACACACACACACACACACACACATTATTCAAATATTTTTTAAAAAGCAGTTACCCTATTTGGTACTAACTTATAGAGGAAAAGTTGTTTCCTGCTAACAATAGTCAATAAGTAACAGATAAGTCATTTTTATTCCTTTGGGGACTTGATAAAGTTCAGAGGTTTTTTTCAGTTGAGTTTTCAGTTCTGAATTTTCTTTTATTTCTTGCCACTGTGATAAAAACAATCCACATAGTTTAGTCAGTAAACATATTAGATCATCTCTGTTTTTCCAACCCATATTTTAAATGGAATAGTGTGGGACCTTAAATCTGAGCTACAAATATTCTCTTCTAAATAGAATACTGCACATTGGTAGATATGGACCATTATTATTACAATACACAGTATTAAATTATATAAAACCAAACTGAAAGACAAAGTTACTTAATTCAAGAGCCATGGTTTTTTCTCATTTTAGTAATATCAGAGTTTGATCATAGGCTGAAACTATTGTCATTACAATGTACCTAACTACAACACACCAGTAAAAAGTGTTTGCTAGTTGGTAATTTCCTGGAGAAAAGATAAAATATTCTGTGTATTTGAAAGCATTATATTAAACAGCTTGTTGATTTTAAACAGTTCACTCCATCTTGTCTCACAGTATTTGTGACTATGTGGCCTTTGGGTGCTTGATAATACCTTGGCAGCTCTTATTGAAGTCCATTTAAGGGTCTGGCAAACTTCTCCAGCTTTGCATGGCAGGAAACGTATGCATTTGTCATACAGGGACGGTTGCATAAGTATTCCATTTATATTTCTGCAAATGTAACATTCTGGTTGGGGGAACTCAAACAGCAAAGCACAGAACAGGAACTCAGATCAACCAACCAGCACACAGGACACGCACCTCTGCACAACATGCAGTTGTGATTTGCAGGTGTGCATATCAGCCCGCATGCAGTCTTCTGCACCTATGCGTACCCATGAATCCCTTCGTAGTGTAGCTATGTGGTGCCAGCTACGGACAGTTGTGGGTAACTTTAAATCAGCCTTTAGCCATGCTTTCCTTCTTTTATTGACCTGTATTTTATTTTTCTTTTATTGCCAACATTTGCAAGGTAATATTATATGTAATATATGTTGTAAAAAAACAACAAAAGCACAATTGAAACTTGAAAGCATCTCAACCACAGAGAACCACAATCAAATTTACGGATTTGTTTGCAAATTTATTTGCACATTTTCTAATTTGTTCTATAAGGCAAATAAAGAATACATTTACTCTCATTTTAAATGGAGCATTACTGTATATTAACTGTGTCAAAATACATTAAGAATATAATTTAAATAATGCACAACAAAGATTGTTTAGACACCGGAGAAACTTCTAATATAATTTAGCAGATTCCTGGATTTCACTTACAACCGTTGCAGCATTCCCATGGTCAGATTTATAGCATTTACAAGAGACACCAGGGATACTCTTTTGAAACGTGGCTATTTCAGTGTGCTAGATATGGCTTAAGCCTTAAAGGACAGTTAATCCCCACTTAATTGCTTGCCTGAACTTTTTCTCTGAGCAGCATGATTGAACTGAGCATCCTTGCTATCACACGAGTGACAGAGAATGAGCAGGCTGGGTGGCAGTAACTCCCTCTGCACGCCTTTCTCCAGAGCCATCTTTATTAATGGTGACAGTTTGAAGATGTATGGACTTCAGTTCCCTAGGAATTCCTGAAATTGAGATCCATTTATCAAATTGCTACAGTTGAGCAACACTGCTCTAGTGCAAAAAAAAAAAAAGTTTTATATTGCCTCAAACAAGTGATGTCCAAGCATAATTTGGGTACCAGAGCATTACCTATGCTTTGCCCAGTACTTCCTGACAAAAAAAAGGATAGGATGAGAAATTGATTGGATGGTATTTTAGGGGATTTAAAATGACTAAGCCCATGACACAAATTGCACAATAGGAAATCCAGTCCAGAATGCATTTAGCTCATTGTATCACCAGGGAACAGAATTTAACAGGCCCAGGATAAAAAAAAAGTCGGTAAGGCCACTTTACAGCTAAATTTGATGCAATTAAAATTTAAATAGGATTAAAATGTGTGGTTTATAATTTACCCTTTGTGGGTTGTGGGATCGACTGACCCTGCAGTTTTTTGCCGCAGCTTCCCTCCCACCCCCCACCCCGTTAGCTGTCATCGAGGATGAGCTTGGCTGTGGGACTCGGGATTTCGACTAAGCCCACTTCTCGCTGCATTGCCGGTCGGGAGAGACGGCCAAGGTGCTCCTTGTCCTTCTTTTGCTTCCGATCTGAGCAGCCTTAGCTCGTCTGCGACAGCTCGGCCTTGCGGCAGTTGCGCTCTTCAACCGGGAAAATATTTCTCCAAAAGGGGGGAGGGGAAGGAAAGCATTACGAAAGTTTTGGGCGCTTTGTGTACCAGCAGCAACATTATTTGGAAACTTTGGGTGGAATTGGTGCGATTTATTATGCACGGAGGGAAAGCCGCCACGCAGTATCGTGGGGCTGCACGTGGCATCTCCCGATTCTCCGCGCTTCGGCCCCCACAACAAAGCCTTTCCCCACCCTGCGCCAGGGGACTCTCTTGCGTGCAAGACGGCGGCCCAAACGGGGCTGGATCCGGTCGCCTCCTCCCTGCCTTTCCTTCCTTTTTTACGCACTGCCTCGGACGGGCGGGTATGCTGTGGACTCGCCCGCTAGACGCCGTGGTTGCTGCTTGGCAGGTATCCCCTTCTTTTTTCCTCTTCCTTGCCCCCTTGGTGCAGCGGGCTAACCCCGGCGAGATGCGAGGGGGGCGGGCGGCACGTGTGTCAGGCCACCTCGACAGCAACACTCTCGTCGCAATTGCGGCGCTGGCTTTCTTATTCTTGACTCCCCTTACTGGGCGGGAAGAGGAAGCAGGAAGAAGAGTAGTTTCACTGCACGTAGAAAGAAGCAAGTTCCCATGGGATATTGTCGCCTCCGCTAAGTTGTAGAAGATAGTTGCTAGGATTGGTGTTCCCAAATTAGCCTTTGCTTGAATCTGACTGTTAAAAATCAAGCCGCCGTGCTATCCTGCTGATTTGTTCTCCGTTGCCCTTTTTTCATTCTCGCTTCTCCTCCTCTCCTCCCGTCTTTTCTGCTCAAGGCTTCCCAACATTTCTGAATTATAATAAATACCCTACGCTCAATTCTCATTAGGGCGGCTATATTCGGAGATTCCCTCTTACAGTAGTCGTCATCCCCCTCTCCCACTGTTTCTGCTGATTTTGGCATTCCCTCTATGTTTCCAATGTTAAAGTTTCTGTTTGGTCGGTGACTTTCAAAAGTAGGTTGTGCTTTTTAAAAGCCCTTGCAACGTTGCAGCTAGTAGGTTGGAATTGGGTTGCTGACCGGATTATCACTGCTCCGTCTTCCTAATTTAAGCAGAGCTGGCTTTTAATGTTTTAAGTAAAATTGCAATTAACAGATATTTAATAATACTGGATGGTTCACTTTGAGTAAATATGTGGTGGCTCAGTGGCAGCTGTTGTATAATAAGAACAAGCAGATGATGAATTCAAAATTCAGGTTTAAAAATATTTTTCGTAGCCATAAAATGTGACTAGGTAAGTAACAGTTATAAAATATATTTTAAAATCTAGGGATTAATTCCATATATATGGAATGTTGCAATGCCTATTATTTTTGATCTCATAAGGAATGTTTGAAGCAATAATTATGCAATAGATTGAAACAACTCAAGAAAAGATTAAGATTATTACATGAATTTTGAGGGTCTTCTTGAAGATTCAGCAGTCAGTGGAGCCATTGCAGAAAAGGCCCTGCTGGTACTTGCCAAGTTCTGTGCTCTTAGCTCAGCATTTCTCAACTTTGGCAACTTAAACTGTGTGGATTTCAACTCCCAGAATTTCTCAGCTAGTATTGTTGAAGTCACGATTTTACTTCTCCTAATGTTTAGGTCAGTGGTGGCGAACCTATGGCATGGGTGCCAGAGGCGGCACTCAGAGCCCTCTCTGTGGGCACATGTGCCGTCGCCCCAGTCCTAGGCCTTCAGCTGGGTTTTATAAAACCTTTTCGCTTTAGGCCTCCACCGCTGTGTGCAAAAAAAAAAGGTTCAACCAATCAGTCAATTTCAACTTCTCACGGGAAAAAAAGATCTTGCAACGTTGGAATCGATTGATTGAACTTTTTAGTCCCACCCAGTCTGCCGTTACCACTGCAGCCATGTCCACCCAATGGGCCACCCCTACCCAATGGGCCACACCCAGCCAATGGGCCACACTCACCCGGCACCCGACGATGCATAAGTGGGTTTTGGGTTGCAGTTTCAATGCATACTTGTCATGCGCTCCATGGCAGTGGACCAGGTTATCTGCAGGACCGCCTTCTGCCACATACCTCCCTTCGACCAGTCCGCTCCCACAGATTAGGCCTCCTCAGGGTGCCGTCGGCCGGACAATGCCGGCTGGTGACCCCCAGGGGGAGAGCCTTCTCTGTGGCAGCTCCTACCCTATGGAATGAGCTGCCCCCTGACCTCTGTACAANAAATTCTAAAATTTTAAATTGGGTATAATTTTATATTATTATAGTGGGTTTTAGGACAGGACAAATAATTTAATTAGTTTTGAATATTTTTAAATATTATGGTATTGCTGTTTTATTAATGTGCCTGTTCACCGCCCTGAGTCCCGCAAGGGAGAAGGGCGGTATATAAATCAAATAAATTTGAATTTGAATTTGAAAATGAGGTTGTTGGACAACCAGGCACAAAAACAGCCAGGGAAGTCATTCAAGCCTGGGAAACAGGCCTCTCCTCAATCAACAGGAGTGCTGATTTACCCCAGCTTATCAAATACTTAGGAAGTGAGGGCTTAGCAGCACAAGTAAAAAAACAGCCAATGACTTAAAACTCCTCTATCAAGTCCTCTACATCTAAAAAGCTACATACAACAGTTACCATATACTGTAAATACCACACACAGAACAGCCCAAAATACACAGAGAAGTTCCCTGTGGATTGGGTCCAGCATGAATCAAAAAGCTCTGAAGAAAAAACTTCTGGTCCTGGTGATTGGCCCAGATTGGATCCTGCATTACCCTGGGACACATATAAATAAAATGGACACAGTTCTGTGGTTAATATAATATGTAAATATGTAAATATTCTATTTATCCTAAAAGGAAAATGACCCTGAATTTAAAACTGTTCCCCAAAGCAAAAGCAAGAAAAAAAAATAGAGACAAGCATATATTCCCAACTCTAGCTGAAGCCTATCCTTGAGATTAGCTACCAAATAAAATGTTTGCATATGTCACACATCAAGGAGAGAAGCAACCTAGAACTAAGGAAAAACTTCCTGACAGTGAAAACAATTAACCAGTGGAACAACCTGCCTCCAGAAGCGGTGAATGCTCCAACACTGGAAGTTTTTAAGAAGAGACTGGACAGCCATTTGTCCAAAATGGTATAGGGCAGTGGTGGCGAACCTATGGCACGGGTGCCAGAGGCGGCACTCGGAGCCCTCTCTGTGGGCACACGTGCCGTTGCCCCAGCCTTGCCTCCCCCCGCGACCCCCTCCTCTCCAGCAGCCCCCCTGAAGGAGAATCGTCCCTGAGTGGCCCACACGGAGCAGCGCAGCCAAGGACATGGCAGCCAGGCAGCATACACAAGACTCTGCCCTCACATCCCATCATGCACAGTTGATGCTGCAGGGCGCAGGCAGAGGGCGTGGCCGCCATGGTGCTGCTGGGCGATCTGTGGCGGGCCCTGGAGGCGATGAGTGGCCCTGTGGGCAGGCGGGGCGGGAGATGAAGGGCAGAATGGGGGCAGGGCAGGCTTGGAGCAGGGGTGGGGCCAGTTTTTGGGCACTCGGTCTCTAAAAGGTTCGCCATCACTGGTATAGGGTTTCCTGCCTGAGAAGGGGGTTGGACTAGATGACCTCCAAGGTCCCTTCCAACTTTACTATGATGATGATGATGATGATGATGATGATGATGATGATGTGTGCACATCTACTTGTTAAAGACTGGGCTTTAAAAAAGGGCAGGCCAAGGCAAAATATTAATAGTAATTATAATAGGACACAATTTTAAAACTACAGGTAATCCTCAACATAACTGTTCGAAGTTACAGTGCCACTGAAAAAAGTGACTTATGACCATATTTCACACTTACGACTTTTGCAGCATCCCCATGGTCATGTGATTTACATTCAGATGCTTGACAACTGATTGCATTTATAATGGTTGCAGTGTCCTGGGATCATGTGATCACCTTTTGCAACCTTCTGACAAGCAAAGTCAATGAGAAAACCAGATTCACTTAACTATGTTACTAATTTAACAACTGCAGTGATTCACGTAATAAATGTGGCAAGAAAAGTTGTAAAATGGGGCAAAACTCAATAAGTTTCTCACTTAGCAATATAAATTTTGGGCTCAATTGTGATTGTAAGTTGAGGACTACCTTTAGTTGATTCTCTTTATATCAAGCAGTCTCTCACACATATGCACAAACCACTTGAACCAGACACAGGAAGGAAAAACAGGATGGCAGGGCGAATAGAGAAAAAATAGCTGCACTGGAATGATAAGAAAAAATGGAAACAGAAAACAACAGGGCAGAGATGATTCAGGAGAAGCAATAACTGGATAAGGAAAAAAAGAAAAGCTGTTGAGGCATAAAATTTAACTAGGCCTGCATTCTGAACCCATCCCTCTCAAATTGGCTAAGCTTCAAAATTATTTATGCTTGAGATTCTTCAGCCCTTCCAAACTGTTGTCCGCTTCTTACTTTTCAATAGATTTTTCAGTTGATTTGGAAGAAAAAAATATCCTACTATGAAGACAGTTTATGTGCTGAGAAAAGATTGGAATTATTGTTATGTGAAAGTATAGGATTGTGCAAAAGTGTATGAATCATTAAGAAAATCTTCATAGTTTTGATGTTGGTACTGTACTTGTTTAATATTATACATTTTTCTATTTTTGTGAAGACATAATAAGCATAATAATACCTTTTCACCCTTCCCAGTTAATAGGTCAGTTAAATGTTTAATAAATGTATTTTAATCTAATGGAATCAACAAGGAATTCAACTGTTGAAGTGAAGCATAAATATTTTTCAGTTAGCTGACTCTTCTAAAAAATTCACAAACTCGGGAAAATTTGACATAGATAAACTAAGTTTCATGCTGCTTTCTTTCCAGATTGTACAGTATTTCCTCTGTTTAAATGTGTGGTAGTCCAATAGGAGACTGGAGAAATTTAAAATGTACAGTACATTAAACTTTTAGAGTTCCATTATAATGTAGATAGAAAGATAGAAAAAGCCAAAGTTCTGCATTGGAAAACTGCCCGTTTTTGTGTAGATATCTTGTTAATAATTCAGTGTTACCTTTTATTGCTGGGCCAGAAAGAATGAAAGTCCACAATGGGATCTCTTGAATTGTTTAACTTGTTTTCTTCTTTCTTCATTCCTTTTACCTGAGGCAAATAATACAGTTTTGCTTCAGAGAAAGAAGGAAATTCTGTGCTCTCACAAAATATATAAAGGATGTACAATTCCATGCCTCAGTGCTGACATAGTATTGAGATTGTAAAATCAAATCAAATTATCAGTTTGCAAAGACAGTTTTTAAAATAATTTTTTAAAAAGTAGGATACATAACTTGCCAATCTGTTTGTGAACTAATTTGACATGATAAAAGCCATACTTTCTCAACTGTAATATATTTAGGAA